GAACTTTCGACCTTAAGTTCCAGATAATGCCTTGTTTGATATAAAGTTTGTACCGAAAAGTATTGCATTGAAAAGTAAGGGTCTTAAAAATTAAGTAAGATTTGTTTCCCCCTGGGAATTCTGAAGTTTGTGCCCTCAAGGATTAGATAGTTACATCGTCTTCCATCTTCTTTTTCTCGACTATAAAATTGGTTTCCGTTATCTGGTGGAAACAACTTTCCAGCTGACAGAACAAAACCCATAAATCATTAGAGGCAATACACACCTTGCTTTTTATAGGTTTTAAGACTTATTACTCTCCTCTAGTGATCATCTTGCTCTTTCCTGTCCTAAAATCTTTTCATTTACTCAAACGATTACGAAATATGTTCATAAATTTCCCCAAAAAGAAATTTCTTTATTTTGAAATATTAATTTATTCTAGTATTACAGCGTGTGATAACTCAAATTATTTGTGATTTATATTTTTTCTTGCGATAATGTTCTATCTCTTATGAAAAATTATTTGTTACAATAGACATAAGTCAATCCACTCAAGAGCCAAAATTAATAACGCGCGTTACAGTATATTATGTGAAGCTTTATTTTTAAGATTATCGACAAATATGTTTTAAAACCTAGAAAACCAGTTGAGTAGAATTCTATGTTGCATTGCCCTGTAGTGTTGTCGAGAATCCCCAGGGTGTGTGTTATTTTGTGTTAGATAGTTTTCTCCCTTGCTTGAGTGATAGGACGATCTTTGACTTAAGGGGTAATAAACCTTTATTTCTCAATGTTTCGGTATATGCCCTGTAGTGTTGTCGAGAATCCCCAGGGTGTGTGTTATTTTGTGTTAGATAGTTTTCTCCCTTGCTTGAGTGATAGGACGATCTTTGACTTAAGGGGTAATAAACCTTTATTTCCCAATGTTCAAAAAGAGGCTACAGAAAGGAAGGGCAAAGAGAGAGAGATCATCTGAAGTCAAAGGTCATCTAATTACTCAAACATGACTTCGCTTTACAACTATAAGCAGGAAATTTTCTCTCTTTACTAAGCCTAAATGCGTA